AAAAAAAAATCTGAAAAATGTCAAAAATTGGCAGCGAAAATGACTCACTGACCCGATAGCATCCAGCGGAAAGCGCACATGATTGCGCCGCATTTGTAACAGTTGTCCGTGTCCGTTTAGAATGCGATCGGGTGTTCGACGAAAAGAATCCACATGGTGAATTTCAATTTCCGCTCCTACCCAAGGAGCCTACGGATAATACTATAGAGAAAAATATTACATTGCCAAGAAATTTGCAGGTAAGAGAGCTGAATTAGTGATAAAATCGATATATCGATTGATTTAACAATTCTATGAACATCTATGAGAAATTATACAAATATTAAACTAAGTGAAGATACGGACGAAGGCGGATGGCATATTTGCGAAGCGGGCGGAAGCGAGGCGCTGCGCACATTTTATTATCAGAGTGGGCGGAGCTTCACTGGGGCCGCGTCGCGTTCGCCTGCGCTTTTCCAATATGCCACCCGCCTTCGTCCGAGAACAAGGTGTAGTTTTGTGATTTTCAGTGTGTATACACGTTTGTCGCGGGACCGAGGCAACGCGTAAAATTAGAATTTGAACATTTTCATCTCGCTGGCAGTTCCGAAAGGTAAGGACCAGATTTCTCCTCTCAATGAGACCAGTTCTCGCCTTTAAAATTTTCTTATTTTTTCCAGCTGCGAGATTGAATATGTAGACATATACTCGGAACTTGAACGGGTTGAATCCGATCTGCTATCCGCATCATTAGGTGGCAGATATTGTGGTACTGTATCACCTCATGTTAGAATAAGGTACGGTAGGACTACGGTAGCATAACGACGAATAGATTTTCTTGTTCTATATAGCCTTCATCGTGTGCTAGTGCTTGTGTTTCATTCCCGTGCTAGAGAAGTCGATCGACAATTTGGTTTTCGTGGTCGATACTCATTCATTCCAGACAGTAAGTAATCGATAAAAAAGTAATCAGTCGATAATCGATTTTTTCAGCCAAATACCAAGCTGGCGTACCGCTCGATGGCGAAGATGGTTGTAGTTTCCTGATTGAAGCCTCTAAGCGCAAAAAAGGCGCGATTTTCTCTCCTACATATCCTGGCACCTATCCAAAAGTACCCTTTTCTCGCTGTGTTTACTTTATGGAAATCTATATGTCTTTCTAGAACTTTCACTGCTCATATTTGCTCAAAGGAAAAGCCGGTCAGCGTATTCGTCTGTTCTTTCGTGATTTCGATATTTACTTTGGTGGCGAGCAGTAAGCATTTTATTTTTGATCAATATTTTTCATACTAGTCAAATATTGATTTTTCGCTTCAGTTGCCCATATGATTCTGTTACAATATTCGATGGTCCCAGTACAAGCTCACCAATTATCAAAAAGGTGAGCTAGATCAACATCCGGAACTTCTCTTGTATATTGTATGATATTTTGCTCTAATTGAGCAGCTCCACACCCATTTTCTAGCTGTCAGAATCAAAGAAACAGAAACGCAATGGTGTACGGAAATTAGCACACTTGTGCACTTGAATAGCTATGAACGATTGCTCGTGGCCTTTTTGCACCACTACTTGAAAGACAAATTTAGGCAAATCTGTCCCTGATTGGGGAGTCTTACTTACTGAGCCATTGCTCAAGCTGCAGATCGTACGCTTCAATTGCAGCTAGTTAATAAAAATCTTAGATCTTGACCATTACCGTACTCTTAGGGCTCAAGGTTTCCGAGTAC